ATCCCTTGTCTCCACTGCCCCGTGGGGTTCCTCACCTTGCCATCAGCGAGACAGCCGGGGCCTGGGACAGACTAGAGGACAGCTAGGGGCCGCTGACGGCAGTGTCTTTAGCCACTGACTGAAAGCCCCCCCTGCGTGCATGGGGGCCTTGAGAAGGTGCTGGGCCTGTGTCCATGCCAGCAGGGCCACCAGCACAGGGAGAGGCAGCCCCAGGCTTCAGGAGGCTGCGTGGTCAGCAGAGGTCATGCGTTCCCAGGTCCCAGCCACAGGCCCAGACCACACTGAGCATGGAGAGGCTAGTGCCTCTGGGTCCTGAGTGTGGAACCGCGGGGGCCACGCAGCTGCCCACACCAGTCTCACTGGGCTGCAGGCTCTCCTTCCCCACTGGCCAGGCTGAGCTGCTGGACTTCCACTGCTCATCTAGTGTGAAGCCTCTGCCACCCAGGTCCCGGGAGGGCCCAAGACAGGGGTGACCAGAGCCCAGCCAGGTGGTGCCAACTGGACACGACCATGCAGAGGCCAGCGAGAGACCAAGGAGCGGCCAGACGCTTGCCACACAGGCCAGGCGAAGCCCCAAGCTGCAGCAGCCAGGGAGACAGGTGGAAGAGTCCTAGCTTAGCAGAGTGTCAACACCCGGGTTGATCTGGAGGACGCTGGGTAGGTTTCTGACTCAGCCTCCAAGGATCCTGGATTCCAGAAAGAAGCCAGGTTATGGGAAACCAATAGTTGCTTTTTAAACATTTTACTGAAGTGTGACACACAAGCAGAAAAGTGGGTATCCTCAGTGAGAGCGCGATGAATTTTTTCACAAACTGGAGACACCCATAAAAAATAGGTTTTAAAAAGCTTTGCAGGTGTGGCTTGAGGATGTTGTTCCCACAGCACAGGACATGAGCCCCCTGCCCCCGCAGGCTGCCCAGGGAGGTCCTGTCTCCAGGACGAGCACTGAGCAGGGTCCCCGATGGAGACCCAGGAGCCCAGACCAGGAGGCTTGCAAGGCCCCAGAGCCTGGCTGAACCCCAGACATCAGCACCTCCGAGGGCACCAAGCGGGCCCACAGGTGGCAGACCTGGGCCTCTGATCCAGAGGCCGCTCAGTAACCCAGCAACTCTCTAAACACACTCCACCGCTCCTGTGCTGCCAGGGCTCAGGCCGTGCCCACAGATGCTTTGTCTTGTGCAGAAAGAGGACGGTCTCTCTGGCAAAGCACCCGTCAGCCTGGGCTGCCTGTCCACAAGGCGACCCGGACCACACAGACGAAGCCCAAGGTCAAGGGCCACCGGGCTGGCTCCTCCCGAGGCTGCTCTCCTTGGCTGGTGAATGCCCTCCTCTGCCCCCCGTGGGTCGTCTCTCTGGGTCTGTGTCCTCCTCTCCTGTTTAGACCCTACCTCAGCACCTCAGTCCAACTTTAAAGACTCTCCAAGTACAGGCCCAACTCGGTACGTGCCTGGGGGTGGGGACACAGCTCAGCCTGACTAGCAAAGTGGCCAGGCGGCAGGCCTGGGGCAGGGGCAGCTCGTACAGGATGCCCTCTTCTGAGAGCACAGTGCCACGCACAACTAGCCAGAAGCAGGCATCCCTGGGAGCTGCCCCGGCCCCTGCCATCCCTACAGGGCTGAATCTGACAGTGTCCACGCATCACACAGATGTCCGTCGCGTGGCAGGTGTGGACTTGAGTCCTGGGATGGACTTGAGGATGCACATCGCCCCTGGAGTCCCACAGACGTCTGCAGGCAGGCAGGAAGCCCACCACCCAGAGGGCCCCTCTGCACCCTGCAGAGGACGCCACCCGTGGGCAGCAGCAGGCTCGGGGATTCCTGGAAACACATCCCACTCTGGATCCCACAACTGCAAAGGTGTTTTATTTCCTGAAACTTTTAGATCAAAGGACATTGTTTTAAGACTCAGGGCTGCTATTTCCATTTCTGTGGAGAAATCATTAGAGGCCACAGCCAATTACTATCAGTAAAGGTCGAAGGACAAGAAAGAAAAGTCTATTTCCCTTCAACAGCAAGACCCACCAACGACCAGGGGGCTGCCAGCCTCACGTCTGGCCTCGGAGGCTTGAGATGCACTCTGCCCCCGGGGACACTCGCAGACACATGTCCCCTGGGCAGCAGGGGAGATGAGAGCAGCTGCTGCCTCTGCCCCAGCAGACACACTTGGGAGCCTCGGAAGCCACCATCAAAGAGCATTCCCCATTTTCTGCCTCTGGGAGGAGACGGCATCTCTCCACCTACTTCAAAGGTGGTGCTGGGTGACCTGTCCAGACTGTCCACGTTGCTTGCTGGGTCCTGCTTCCTTCAGAAGATGAGACTGTCAACAGCGGGTTGTAAGAGGCGCTCTGGGTCACCACCACTCACACCCTTCTCCTTCCCATTAGAAGAGTTAAACACCGATGGGGTTTTATGAGTAAGGGATCCCGAGGCCACCCACGTGCCTGGAGGCTGAGGCTGCCAGAAAAATTCCCAGATTTCAAATGGCTTCTTGCTGAGGCCGAGGGCTCCATCTCACTGCCGGCTGGAGCTGAGCTCCCCAACCTGGCTAAGCAGAACCGTCTGTGCAGCGAAATTCCACACAGCAGCCGAATTCCTAGAGGCAGAGTGGCCCTGGACCGCAGGGCCCCCACCCCACAGGCCGAGCCCCCTCCCAGGCCTAGGCTCAGCAGCACGCAGCCTGGATCCCGGTGACAGGGGCGGAGGAGTCCAACGGCAAGCCCTGCCCCGAGCTGTGTCTCAGGACACAGACACAGCGGAACTCGCCTCACACTCAACCGCCCACAGCTCTCGGGGAAGACGTCACAGCAAGCAAATCCTGATTCACGCCAGCAAGTTTCGGGGGAGAGCACCCCAGCAAGGCCCGCTCCTGGGGCCTCTGCTGTGAGGAGCTTGCCCCATTGTTATGAGCCTAGTGCCACTTCAGCATGCCACTAGGTGTTTCTAAGGACGACCCCCAGGAAGAAAGGGAGAGGAATAACTAAAGCAGGTTGGAGAGAGGCCTGAGGTCACTTGGCCCGGGGGCTGTTAAGACGAGTGAGAAGCTGCCAATCAGAACAGGAACTGAGTGTGCCGAGATTAACAGTCTGCGAGGGGCACAGGCCCCCTGGAGACCTGCAGGCCACAACCCCATACACCAAGGAAGCCTTCAGACCACCAGAGCCGGTGGAGTTGCCCACCAACAGTGTTGGGAAAACTTCACTCGAAACCATATCCCAAAGTAGACTGAGAAGCTAACCACAACAAGAAAAAGAGAAGAAAAGCGAGGCTCAGTCAGGGGCACACGCCTAGAATCCCAGCAGCTCGGGAGGCAGAGGCAGGAGGGTTGTGAGTTCAGAGCCAGCCTCAGCAACTTAGCGAGGCCCTAAGCAACTCAGTGAGACCCTGTCTCTAAATGAAATACAAAAGAAGGCTGGGACGTGGCTCAGTGGTTAAGGGCCCCTGGGTTCAATCCCCAGTACCAAAAAAAGAAAGAAACCATAAAATGTTTTAAAGAAAATATATTTGAATATTTCACTGACTTCACAATAAGTAAGATCGTTTAAAGTATGAAAACAAGAAACAAAGAAAATTCTTACTTCAAATGTGAATGCCAAAAAAAAAAAAAAACAACAACACGTGCCTGCGTCTGCACCTCTGATATGAACCTAAGCACATGATAATCAAAAGAGAAGGGCAACCCGGTCAGGAAGGCTGCCACCACCCAATGCCAGGCTGCAACAGGAAGAGTGGGGGACTCAGCAGCAGCCCACGGAGGGAAGGCAGAGGCTGCCAGTCAGCCGAAGAGGTGTCTTGAGCCTTTACGCTCTGCTGTATTGCCTAAGTTTCACAGTAGGAAAAGAGGACAGGCGTGGGATCCACCCACAGAAGGCTGCAGACCAACCTGTGGAGCCAGGAGGTGGGTGGGGTCTCCCACACCCAGCCGTGGCCCTGGCTTCCCCTCTCGGTGGCCCTTAAATGAGACACTCTTCTCGCGCTGCCCTCTGGCCCTACAATCTTGTGTCTCCAGCATGAGCCCCTCCCAACCCCGCTGTCCAGTCTGTCCACAGTTCCTGGACCACCTTGGCCACTGCTGCCCCACACTCTTCCTCCTCTTCTGGTCCAGCCCCATCTGGTCCAGGGCTGATCTCCTGCACCGGCAGCAGGTCCCTCCGGAGCCCTGTCCCCCACAGCTCCCTCCTCCCAGGACCTGTCCTCGGGGCCTGTTATCTTCCTCCAGAGCTGCTAAACTACAGCAGAACATGTTAAGGATCCTGGGAAGAAGGCAGGGTGAAGCTAGGTGCCACTGGACTTCAGAGGGTCTCATAGGATCTCCTCTGATTTCTAGTTAAGAACAGGAGGCTTAAATCATCTTGAGTTTTACCCACTGGGGGAGGATCTCCCCTGGAAGCCAGTCGCTTCCATGTCCCCAGCGGCCCCAGCAAGAACCCCACAGGGCCCAGGGTCTGCCCTGGAGTCCAGTGGCTGCAGTGCGTAGCAGCCATAGGACCCGACTTCCCCGCACCTCTTCTTCTTACCCTAAAGACAGGGAGTGGGGTTACAAGGACAGTGACACCCGGGGGGGGGGGGGAAATCTGGGCAGTCTCATAGTGCCCCAAGCTGGTGTGACGCCCTGCCATGGCTGTCCTGAGAGTCTGAGGACTTCTGAACAAGGGCCCCACAGGGGCCTTCTTCCTTGGGCCCAGTCTGAGGCCTCCACAAGAGGGCTGCTGGGGCCAGGCCACCAGGAGAGCCCCTGCAGGGACTCCTGGGACCGACCTGACTCCTGAGGTCTGCAGACACTGCCTCCTGGCCCAGGAAGCACGGCGGGAGCCAAAGCCCAGCCGCTCTGCCTGGGAAACACGGGCATTCCAGGAAGGCTCCTGCGACTGCCACGGAGACTTACAGCTCCCAGCCTCTGGGCTTGGCAGGGGGACAGAAACGCTCTCCCCTCCCGGGTGGGCCCAACTTGGAGAAGGGGCCCCACGCAGCCCTCCGTGCCTGCGAGAACGGACGCGAACTCACCGGGCAGCTTTATGACGGGGCTGATGGGCCTGGACGGGGAGAGAGCACTGCTGAACATCAATATCCTGGAGAATGAGGAAGGAGATATTTCAGGAGTCATATATGCAAACAGTCGAAAGGCAAATGGTTTTCATAATGACTTATTAAAAGCTTTCTTCCCGGACTGGGAGTCCCAGAGCATATAAAGCCCAAAGCACTTAGCGAAATGGATTTAAGCACCAGAAAGCATGTCCTGAGCCCAGCTCCCCAAGGCAGCACTGACACAGCCCTGCCCCAGGGTTCTGAACTGGTTGGCTTTGGGTCCCTGGCTGGGTGCCACGTTCTCATGGCCTCTGCTCAGCACAGCTAGGACAAGCATGGAGCGCCAGTCCTCGGAGCCCGGCAGTGGCCTGAGCCATGATCAGCCATGACTGGTCCTGGCCTGAGGTCCCTCTTATGCCCTGGTCTCCTGGGTTGTGGCTGGGCAGAGGTGGGGTTGGTAGGCTTTAGGCCTTCCGCATTGGGCTCAGCCCTCAGGACAAGGGTCTCAAGTGGCCTGGCCCAGCCAGCCATGTAGCCTACTTTTTCGTGGACCCAGGAAATGGAAGGGGCACAGGGAGGCAGATCTAGTTGTGAAGCATCAGACCCAGGGGAGATCCTCCCCCAGTGGGTGAAACTCAAGATGAGACCCTCTGAAGTCCAGTGGCACCTAGCTTCACCCTGCCTTCTTCCCAGGATCCCTAACATGTTCTGCTGTAGTTTAGCAGCTCTGGAGGAAGATAACAGGCCCCTGAGGACAGGTCCTGGGAGGAGGGAGCTGTGGGGGACAGGGCTCCGGAGAGACCTGTTGCCGGTGCAGGAGATCAGCCCTGGATGGGGCAGGAAAGCGTCCCAGGATGCCCCTCCCTGAGGAAGGCAGGGACACGGAGAGAACCCCGGTGGGCTGAACTGGGACAGGAGAGGGAAGTATTCCCAGATCAGGGTCCAGGAATCACCTCGGAAGCAAAGAAGGAAACCCGCGGGAGCAGCCAGGCCCCCCCGCCAGGCCCAGCCACTCTGCAGCCCTAGCCCCCCACCAAGGGGACAGAGCCCTGTCAAGCAGTAGGTGAAGGCTGGGTGACCTGGTTGTGGCTAGTCCAGGGCTTCGTGACACTGGTCAGGACAGGGCCTTGGAGAGCAGAATCCTGCCCATTTTACAAGGAGGACATCAAGGTCCAGAGAGGTGTGGCACAGCCCCTGTTCTCATGGAGTGTGGGAGCTGATCCGTCACCAGCCTGGCTCCCGTACCCCAGGACAGCCCTTCCACCAGGCCATGCTGGCCCAGATGACGAGGTAGGAGGTGCATGACGCTGGTGGCCACAAACGTGAGCAGCTCCGTGTGATTCTGCCAAGCCACACAGCAACTCCAAGCTTGATTTACTCGACACATAACAAAGTCGAGTTAATCAGGAGGCCCTCCATGACCACCCAACCTGCCCTTCCAGCCTGACCTTCTGATTTTGGGGGTACAGCTCAGCCCCCAACTGCACCTCCAACCCCACTAGACCCCCAAATGCAGGGCTTTCAGTTTTAAAACCAACAAGCCCTGGACAAACCAGGACCAGCTGTGACCCCACTCCCTGCTTTGGGGCAGCTCACCTCCTACAGGCCCCTGCGGTCAAGGGCCAGCCTGCCCCTCCAGGGCCTGTTCCTACAGCCAGACAGCATCTTCCTTGGAGGAGGGAGCCTGAGGGGGACACAGGCTCCTTGGCCTCCCTGCCATTGAGCACCTTGCCCCCTGGCCCAGCGCCACCGGCATGAACACCGTAGCCCAGAGAAGGGCCTTCACTTGCCACAGGTCCAGCCTGGACCTCGGCCATGCGCCTGCTCAGAGCACAGCCAACAAAGCAAGAGCTGGGGATCCCTCGCCCCCCCACCCTGCTGCCCTCCCCCCACAAGACTCCGCAGGCCCTCTTCCATGGGCACCCCTGAGCCAAATCTGCCTTAGGACCATGGTCCATAAAGAACCTGCCGTAAGGACCCAGACAGTATCGTCACTGCCACGGCCCAGTGGGGGTAGCCTCAATGACGGTCATTTCCCCAAACACCCAGAAGGCCCCCTCTCCCCTGTTCCGCAGCGTCCCAGGCGGCCTAGGTGGACAGTGCAGGGCGGCCAGTAGAGGTGGCCCTTGTCTGCCCTGCTCCTGGGGGCCAATTAGGGTATGTTTCACAGTGTCGCAGGCAGGGTCTGGCAGGTAGCAGAGGAGCAGTCAGACGGATTCAGGAAGCGTTGTTTTAAGGAACTCTACAAAAAATAAAAGCAGAATGCTTACAGCAGCCAATAAGAGAGTACCACAGCTGGGGGCCAACAGTCAGGAGGCGCCACCTCAGTCCTACAAGGAGAGGGCATGAGGGCCTAGTGGACCTGAGGCAGCAGGCCAGCCAGCACCCCAGGTGCGGAGCCCGGAGAGAGCAAGCACCTCACAGCTAGGGGCCAGGAGAGAGCGCTCGCTGCTGAGAGGAGTGAGAAACAGAAGCTACCACCGGAGGTCGGGTGCCCACCCTCAGAGGGAGCACACCCAGGAAATGGGAGAGGGGAGCCGTGGAGTGCTGACCACACTGCAAGGCCTTGGGAGCGCCAGAGCCGCAGGACCCAGAGCAGCAGTCCTCGGTGGGCGGCCGAGTCTCCAGTCCTCGCCGCGGTCAGTCAGGGCGTGGGCCATGCACCGAGAGCTGTGCCCAGCGCAGGCAGGTGGCCTCCCTGAAGCCCTGACTGCGGGGGTCCCAGGCCGCCCACTCCCTGCAGCCGGGAGCACCTCCTTCCTGGGACAGCACCTGAGTGCTCTGGGCTGTGCCAGCCGAGAAGAGCCACGACCTCAGGGCGGGGGCCGCGGGGGACGAAGCTCACGGTGCCAGCAGAAGTCGGAGGGCACGCGGACCAGGGGGAGCCGGGTGGCCTCGCCCACCCCTGCCCGCCTCCTGCTTTCACTCCAACTGCAACCTGCCCAGAGTTGGGGAGCAGGGGAACCGTGGGTCTCCCCGAGGGGGAGTGACGGGGGTGAGTCTGGGGACCCACACACCCGCCCAGTCCCAGAACCTCACAGTCCCCCAGCAATCTCTGGCCTCTACCTCTTCTTTTAAATAATTTCTTAATTTCCTTTGACAATTTTAAAATCATGAGTTTGATTTCTCGGTTTAGGCCAAGGTTTGTTTTAAATTTTTTCCTAAATATTTTGCCATTGCTGATTTTTCTCTTTTCCCATGAGACGACTGCTTTGATTTCCCGAGAAGTCGGCTTCTGTCCATTCCTACTTCAGTTTTATTTTCATCTTCCTCACTGGCGTCAGGGCCTGGTCCGTGCCACACCCAGCATTAGCCCTGCTGTGGAGCACGGCCACCTCCTCCACCTGACAGGCGTCCCTTCACTCGCACGGTCCCGTGGGCCTTGTGGATCAGTCTGAACCTTTCCCTTACTCGATGCCCTCATGGGGGGCGGATCTGCGGAGAAGGGGGGGGGGGGCGGGGTGCAGACGGTCTGCAGGTGGGGTGGCCCACATTAGCCAGAGCACCTGCCCAGCCTTGGGACAGGGAAGCCAGAAGGTCCATCAGCAGGAGAGCCCTCTTCCTGCGGTTGGGTGTTCTCGTGGAAGTCGGTCTTCAATGTTAACATCACGTCCTACTTTACTTTTGTTTTTTCTCAGAGGTGATATACAAATGGGCTTTGCTTAGGTGCTCTTGGGAGTCTTTTTCCTAAAACGGGTGAATTTACTCCATTTACATTTACAGTCACGAAGGAAGCATTTGGCCTTGGGTCTGACTTAGACCTTCTGTGTTGCAAGCTTCCTAGGAGCCCCCTGGACCGCCATCTCAGGTGCTGCTGTAGAGCCGACTCTTCCTCCTTTCTGACCTTTCTGACCTTGGAAGAATGCAGTCCTTCCTGTCTCAGCTGCAGTCACTCTGATGGGCTGTTTAGCCAGTGTTTCTGAACCTACGAGCTTCAAACAGAGCCGCATGGACAACCAGCACGACCACACAGGCTCCCACCTCCCCATTTGTGGGAGGCCAACCTCGCAGGTGACTGGGTCACACTCCCCGCTGGGTGCTGAGGCGCTCAGTCACAGAAATGTGGCAGAAATGTGACTGTGGGGGTGTCCCGGGCCTCATGGGAAACTCTACTCAGCAACAGCCGGCCAACCTTCTTGGGTTCCCCATCCTTCTTGGGTGTGAGGGTGGCTGTCTCCTGCTTGGGTGTGTCTTGCTACAGCCCCATGGTGAAGCTGTGCTCACCTGTTCCTTTGTAATCTAACCCCTTGCCCTGCTTAGGATGGAATCTTCCACGGAAGTGCCTTGAGTGTGTCCCCTTCTCTTGCTCTGCCCTTGGGTGTGGCCTACCCAGGTGTCAGTCAACCTGCTGACAGTGGACATCATGAAGATAGACTCAGCCCCCTGAAACCTGACCCCTTGCCTCATTTGAATAGCTTCTCCTCAATAAAAGGGGTCAGCACGTGCTCTCTCTCTCTCTTCCTGTGGACCCTTAAGGTCAGAGGAGCCGTCACAGCGACCCCAAAGAAAAAGGTATTTGTGTCTCTTGGGTGGTTATTTTGCGCAGCCCAGTCAGTCCAGTTTACCTGGAGTGACCCCTGAGCCTTTTAGTCGCGAGAACTGAAACCCGGCACCCATTGGCCTGTATTTGGTTAGAGTTCTCTGAAATTTTTTTGATCATTTTAGTTAAGCTGTTGTGATTTTTAATCTCACTAACATTATGACGTTTATTCAGAAGACATTTGCCAGTCTTTATTGAGTGCCCCCTAAGCTCCTGGCTTTATCATTGCTGGTGGCACAGTGGTGCATGAAACCCAATAAACAAAACCCTATCATCAGACAGTGCTTTCTAGAAGGGAGGAGAGGCTGTGTGGCTCATGCCACCTTCGACACATGGCCTCCGGGACTCCACGGTGCTTGAGCATGCACTGAGGGGCCCTGACAGGCCTGGCATGCCCCCAGGTGCATGGTCAGGTAGTCAGCCCAGCCGCAGGCCGGGTTGCAGATGGATGGCCAGCAGGTGGGCTGGGGTGGGGGATGCGATTCCAGGCTGCAGGGATAGAGCAC